ACCCTCATCATTTCCTTCACCTGCTCCCCCCACCGACCAAACTGTGCAGCTCTGCAACTGCATCCTGGCCCATCCTCACCCTTTTGCCCCCAACCCTCACCTCCTTGTACCCCCAATATGTTTTTCCCAATAAAAAATATTATAAAAAATAAATTAATAATAAAAAAGTAATTATTATAAAAATAGTTAAGTGTCTGAATCACGCTCTCACTTTACACACCTGACATTTATGTCCTAAAGCATTGAGTCCTGGACTAGGACTGAATTATAGCTCGCTGATTTCTCACTACCACTTAAAGGAAGGAGGCACTGTCGGGATTTTTCGTTTAAAACCAAATAATAACCAAAACATACTGGTATTTCAACATAGGGAAGCCTCGTGTGACAAAGTAAAACTGCCTAGTAGGGTTTTCTGGATTTTAATTATGATGTTGGTGTTGTTATATTGTGAGATGTAGTGAAAGCTTACAAATAATATTGATTTTTCATTAATTCATTCACATCCTACGACGTCACAACAGCAATGATCAATCTTTTATTATATATTGGTTTTCCTTCAAGAATGAAGTAGACCTGTGTAGAGTACAATCTTAATGGAATTTACAGAAAAACTGCAAAGATCGTACATTGATTTTCCTGTTATGTTAAATTGCTAGGTACATTTGTCACACATAAAATATATCATTGGTATTTGCTATAACAGTTGCCTAAGGTGGACAGTGTTTGGTGGAGCTCCCAGTCCAAGACAAGTTTGGAAGCAGGAGTGGCATTCACTTTCTAAACTACATGCCTATGGAAACTCTATAAACTTGGAGAAATGACGATAGCTCCAGAAAGGCATCAGATTTTTTGTTCATAGGGTTGCTAGGAGTCGTGCTCAACTTGACAGCAATCAACACAGCAACAACAATAATAAAAAAACCAACACAGATTTCAGCAGTTTTCCTAACAATATCCTTTGTCCATTCTAGGCTCTCACCTAAGATATCATTTTGCATTTGTTCTTCACATTTTTTTAGTCTATTTTTGGCTTTTCAAAGCCATCAAAGACATAAATGATGTAGAAAATCTGAGAGACTATGCACGGTGTCACTACTAGGATTGACATCACCCAGTGCAGTCCCAAACTATCCAGAATCCTTAGTAATGTGTGTTATAAATTTTAGTTATATAATAACATGATAAAAGGCACGATCTCATTACTGTTGAGTTGCTGGATACCATGAGGTCAGATCCAACTCACAGCTGCCCCTCCTTTGAATTTCAGAGGCTGTAAACTGCACAAGAGGTAGAGCCCTACCATGAGAGAGGTGTGGCCTTCAAGTTAGGGAAACTCGGCAAAAACTACACTATTATAGTTGCGGAATGCTTTACCTAGTGATACTGCGGAGCTCACATCAGAGAGCTTGACAATGACTAAGGATAATAGAAGAATTGATGCCTTTGAATTGTGAAGAAATGTATTGAACACATCATGGACTGCCAAGAGAATTAACAGGTCATTCCTCGAGAAGGTGAAATCAAGCTGCTCTTTGGAAGCAAAGATTTTGAAGCTCTGGCTCACATACTGTGTGCATGTTTCCAAGAGAGACAAGTCCTTGGAGAGGGACATCAGGGAGCAGGGACAGAGCAAGGAGGAAGAACCTGGATGAGACAGATTGACTCAATGAATGGGATAATGAGGTTAAGTGTGTAGGACAAATGAGATTGGCTCAAGATAAGGACAGATTCAGAGCTATTGTACATAGGGTCACTATAAGTCACAGGTGACTCGATGGCATATAGTAACAACAATAACAATAGGTAACTCTGGTGGCCTAGTAGTGAGAAGCTGTGTTGCAAACCCAAAGGCACACACAGTTCAAACCACCAGCTCTTCTACAAGAAAAGGATGGGCAATCTCCTCCTGTGGGATTTTCTGCCTCAGAAAACTCTCTGGAGGGTCAGCTGTAAGTTGGCTCTGGACAGAACACAGAAACAACAATTTTCCTGGATTAGAAAGGCAGCTGCTTTGAATAATATCTGATCCCACCCCTACCTTCAGTTCCTCTAACGTTTTTCTCAGAGTTATAGAATGAGGTTATACATTTTCATGAGTTATGCCAAAAGTTAGCTCCAATGCATGGGACCCCCCCAAGTACAACAAAATGAAACAGGCAGCTCTGGTGGTGTAGTCCACGAAGTATTGTGCTACTCACTCAAGAGTGGTTGGAGTCCACCAGCGACTCCACAGGAGAAAGATGGACAATCTCCTCCTTTGCAATTATAGCCTCTGAGACCCTACCGGAAGCAGAGCTATGAGTCAGTTCCAACTGAATGCCAGTGACAGTCGTAGGGTTGAGGACAGTTTCCTGATTGTCACGCTTATTGCTTTGTCTGGGAGAACCATTGTTACTGCTCTTGTGTTAATCTATCCCGTTGAGGGCTTCCCTCCTTCATGCCAACCCTCTGTTATACCTTGTAGGCTTGCTGCACTGTGGTGGCTTCCGTGAGACCAGATGTCATCAGCTGTCCTACTGATATTTTAGACAGCAAGAGGGTCAACCATGATGGAGAGTTTCCAGCTAATCTTTCAAATTAAGACAAATTAGAATGAAAGGTGGGACATCTACTTTTGAAAATTAACAGGTGAAAAATCCCATAGAAAGGATACAAACTATTAAAATAACTACAGCTGGTGTTGTTAGGGACCTCTTGTGGCCTAGTGGGTGAAGACTTGCACTGCCAACCCCAAAACAGGTGGTTTGAGTCCACCAGCTGCTCTGTTGGAAATAGATGGACAATTGCTCCTCTATGATTTATGGCCCCTGGAAACATGCTGGAGGGTCACCTTTGAGCAGTGCCAATCAACGACAATGAAAACCAACAACAATATCATGGAGCCTTCCCACAGGCACTTCATTCACAAACCCCATCATCTGTTACAGAGGCAAGTAGCATGGCAACCTCATTGTCTGGCTTTTCAGCCTTCAGCATATCTTCACTGAGCCAGAGACACTTATAAAATGCTAATCTGATCATGTCTACACCCACTTAAAACAATCTATTTCTCTTAACAGCTTGTCACAACTCCTTAAATGCCTTCTAAGGCTCTTGATAATCTGGCTCTGACCATAGGGTCATCT